CAGGGCTGTGTCCTTGCGTCCACTCTCTTCAGTCTTATGTTCTCAGCCGTGCTGATGGACGCCTTCTGCGATGAGCGCTCCAGGATTCACATTGCCTACAGAGCTCACGGGCATGCCAACATCCGACGAATGCAAGCCAATATGTGTGTTTCTACGGCCGCGGTCCAAGATCTGTTCTTCGCGGACGACTGTGCGCTCAATACCACGTCAGAAAAGGACATCTAAACAGGTATGGACCTCTTCTTTGCGGGTTGCCGCAATTTTGTACTTACCATCAACGCAGAAAAAAGATGGCCATACATCATCCGCCGCTCGGTGTTGATTCCAAGGCTCCGTCGATCAATCTTATCCAACAGCAGGTATTATCCTTCCTTATGACTCATCAACCGCGCGAAACAATGCCCAAGGTTGAACGTCAGACATTAAGAACAATTAAGGCCGAAAGAGACATCTTTATCCTGCCAGCCGACAAAAGGTGTTCCACCGTCGTATTAGACAGAGAAAAAGACTTTCAGAAGGCCAAAAACTTACGGGAGGATCGTCAGTCTTATATCCTAAGTGAAAAAAGCCCCTCAAAAGGCTGACACGCGAAATAAATGTGATTCTGTTGACATCAAAGAATTCGGGTGCAATAACGTCATCTGGATAACGCATGACGAGAGCGCAAGACAGGCCCGCTTCTACAGCCTTCCAAAGATGAGCAAGGAGGGTGCTCTTCTACGACCCATCGTATCGCTGAAAGGCGCTCCAGCATATGCATTGACAAAGTTGTTGTTTCGGAGTTTCTCATTTCGGACCGCTGATTCGGGCACCGTGGCCTGTTCCTCAACACAATTCTTGGAAGAAAATCAGAGGTAAATCTCCTGCCAATTGAGGTCATGGTATCATTTTATGTCGCGTCCTTTTTCACTGCTATCCCCCAGGATCTGGCAGTCATGGCCGTCGAACTATCCCTACACAGCAAAAACAATTAGACGGGGAACCGCCTTAGATACGCTCAAATCTTGCAGTTCCTGAAGTTCTGTCTCAGGCCGTACTTCAAAGTTGACAGTCTACGAGCAGGCGAAGGAGACACCAATGGGTTCACCGATTTCGGGACTCATAGCCGAAGCGGTCCTAAAACGGGTAGTTGGTTTTCCAACACAACAAAATGAAATGGTAGACGCGGTACGTGGATGATACCTTAGTAGCGCCTTCCCGTACATAAAACTTACGATAGAAGAGAAAGGAAACGAGCAGCTGGCCCGTCTTGATGCCTGCTGCAAATATTGTAGTGGCCTAAAGACCAAAGTGTTCGTAACAGCAACAAATACGATCCAGGTACAGAACTTCAACAGCAACTACACAATCAGTCACAAACCCAGTTGTGGAAGGATGCTTTCTTTCGGTGTGTTGAGACAAGGTTGGCGAACTGCAATATTTTCGACGGGTGTTCAGAGAAAATAGCTACCCACACAACTTTGTCTACCAGGGCATGCGCAAACGAGCTGAGCAACAAAATTGCACCGAACATTTTAGCGAACGATTCCGCATGTTAAAAACGCCTCGAAGGGGGTCGGCCGCCTTCTCGTACCACTTGAAGTTGAAGTCACACACAGGCCGGGGTCTGTCGTTAGGGGACAGGTAATTTAAAAAAAGATCCATTGCCACGCCAAGAAACATCCGAAGTCGTCCATATGACCTTGTGCAGTTGCAGAAAAAGCAATTACGTCAGACAAACCAGGAGACACCTCAAGCTGCGAATTGCCGAACACGCGGTAGCAGTGCAAAGAAATGACGCCAATTCTAAACTCCGACAAATTCGGCAAAACCCGGCCCTACATTTAAAACTTGTGAGGCCAAAGTTCTCACGAGAGGTGACAATAGTGTGAACTGCAAGTTGTCTTACTCATGGTTCACGGGCCTCCAGTGTATAAGCAAGTGCAATGACTTGTCCAACCTATATTCGGTGCTGAGAGTCAGTTTGGTCAAGGCGATTCGCCACTAGGGGAACGCACAGGCCAACGCCTTTTCCAACGCCAGCGCCAAGGAAACAGATGGTTTGAACAATCATCACACCCAAGTCCAGCACTGATGATGAAAGTTCAGCAAGTCACGACCCGCATGCCAGCAATCAAGCTATTACGGCACCAGAGGGCGATTAGCCTCGATGTCCGCCAGCCGCCACTTGTCATAGTTATGCAGTAGCACAGCAACTGCATCCTACAATTACTGTAACTGTCTATATGTATGAAGTACCCGTTCCGTTATTGTCTCTGCTGATAAATTCTAGAAAATATTCGAAACGTTAGGCAAAATGATTCTTTTTCTTAGCTTTCAAGTTGTCGACTATATGCACTCCACGTGTACTCCAGAATGAGTATATAAAATAACCGAATACATTGACAATTTTCTCAGCAATTTTAGTTAGGGACGAGCATATGCAACTCCGCAATATACGCGGTCTTTCGCCAAATTCTAGGGAGATTAGGGTTAAGTGATGGTTGTAATTAAGATTGTGGTCAGATTAAAGGTTTGGTTACGGCCTAGTACACAGGACGAGGTCCCTTTTGGAATTTAGCGCAAGCCCACCTACGCTACGGTGGGGTTCATATTTCTTCGTCTCGTCCTCTTTTTCAAAACCAAAAGAAAATTTAAGGAATTATCGGAATTTCGAAGTCAAAAAGGTCAGCACTGATGATAGCCAAACAGTAGAAGGAGAAAGCTAAAACTGATCTATTAGAGAAGCAATAAAAGTACTTTTAGTTGGAAACACAAGTGGGTGTGCCACAAGTTGTGATATCGACAAACAGAAGGTTCCCCCAAATCACAAGTCAAGCAAGACGGCGTTGGTGGACAGAAGTTTACTGCCGGAAAAGAGACAGTACACAGGCAGAGTTACGCACCCCGAGTCAGTACGCCAAATCGTGTGCCGTCTTGCCTGCGGAATGGACTAAGTGTGACATCAGTTGGCTGAAACTTGCGCCTTGAACAGCGAGCACACGGGGGAAGCATAAGGCCACCGGAATACAGCGTTCCTCTCACAGCGGTTGACTGACTAACTGCGTATCGGGCGCGAGTGAAGACTGAGTCTCCGTGGTTTGGTAACTAAGCCAGCGTGAGTCAGCGAGGCAGGCTCCCACAGTATCCCCTGGCAAGACCGAAAGCGGTGGTAATCGACGCCGAAGGCGGGATTTATGCCTAAAATATTGGTAATAAAACGGTCAGGGAAATGAATATGTCGTCCACTCCGGGTTATATATACAGGAGCGTGGAAGAGGAGTTGGTGGGAGCAGTGGCAGAAGTGTCAGAGTTTGAGGCAGTAGCAGAAGTATTAGAGTTGGAAGCAGGAACAGGATTGGGTTGCGGACGGGAGGAAAGAGGTAAATAGCGGGACGGTGGAATAGCGGGTTGGGGATAAGGGGAAAGAGAGGGCAGATGACTAGAGGGCTCATCCGGCGAAGTGTACGGGACAGCAAACATGAGCAGGTCAACGCTCACGACCTCCTTGCAAGTACCACACTGGATGCGGCATGTGTTCGTCCAACATGAGATGACACGGAATGGTCCAAGGGCCGCCGGACGCGATCACATCGTAGAAAGACATGAGTACATGCGGCCAAGTCCATCTCTAGATAAGACTCAGAGACAGATGGCATAGGCGTAACCGGGGTTTAGTGTCCACAGAAACTGCCGGAGGCGATGCAGGAGGTTGGCAGTATCCTCGACCGTATCTGGAGGAGATGGCGAGATCATCTCACCGGGAAGTCGGACAGGGGCGCCAAACACCAGTTCAGCGGCGGAGCAGTCAAGGTCCGACTTGAGGGAGGAGCGGA